AAATTAGAGGACATAACTTCACGTAAAACTACCTTAATTATAAAAATACTTTTAATACATCGGTTATCATTATAGACATTTTATAGGTTACATCCTACGAATACATCTTTCTGTATTTAAAGAATATTTTTTTAAAAATACTAATATAATACAACAAACGTATCACACTAACCTATTACACACTAACTCAAGAATGCAATAAATACAATAAAGACTAAAACAAGAAAGACCATACCGCGTGGCCCAAAAACTGTCAATGTTTAGTTTTTCATAATAAATATTTTCATACATGAATTATTTACTTTCCATACAGAGCACAGATATTTATAATAAAATTAATGATATTTTAACAATTTATGCATTTATATTAAAAGAAACCAAACAACTCACCAGATTTCTCGGGCTGCTTCTTAGGAGGCATCGTGACAAAAAAGATGGATGCCTCTTAGAGTTGCTACACAATAAAATTATTTACCATAATAGTCTTGTAGTGTTGTCATAGCAAAAATGCTTTGACACCGACACCACAGACTTGTAAAAAAAATTATAGGCTATTAACTGTCGTGTTTTGTGCCTATTTGATTACCGCCATTTGGCGCTAACGGTTGCAATTGGTAGCTGTGATAAGGATCCGAATTAATAATTGAAAAATGTGCTATCAGGAGATTATCTGTTATTTCCAAGCAATGACCTATCATGTGAAGAAATTAGTTACTAAGAGAACGAATATATATAAAGGCATAAAAACATCTATGAGCTTATACACCAACACAAATTCTAAACTTTTTCAAGATTTACAGAACATATCAATTTCGCAAGCCACACTTGTCTTGTCTTCTGTTGGATCTGGACAACACTTATTCACCCTACGATGCGATGCTCTGCTCAGGTCGAAAGGTGCAAAAAAAAAAGCTGTACCATTCACGTTTATGTTCATTGATTTGGCGAATTTAAGGACATGGAAGCGAGGCAACGAAATAGTTCTTTTTTTTCTCAGGACCATTTATCCTCCTTAAAATTAAAAACAGTTTTACTTCATTTTTATTTTTAATTTGTCAATAATGTGCACGTAAAGATTAAAACATTTATTATTGTGAAAATATACTAGAATAATGGATAATGTAATGAAATACATTGAGGTTCATTGTTTTGGAAATTTTGGTACATTAAAAAGATTCTTGAATTGAATCATGAACGATAGTTAACAGTACTTTTTACGAGAATAGTTCTTTAATTTACGTATTTCTACATTTCTAAAGTTCATTCCTCAAGAATAATTAAAATAATTATTTAAAGCTTAGGTTAAGAGGAGTCTATGCTTTTTGTTTGACTGAAACCAGTTGTTCTGCTATTTGTTCTGTGAAATGAGCCAATATTAAATACTGGTGTGGTAAAGTTTTTACTTGCAGCTTCTGGTACACTTGCAGCTGGGGTTAAATTAACTGGTCTTTTGCCAATGATTAGTGGAAAGCACTCATCTGGTATACTGGATAATGCTAACTGTATTCTTTTCATGCGATTGGAACATTCCTCAAAATGCTCAATGAGATATTTCAACTCTGGAACAGCTGATAGATTAGTATGTGTTTTTAGATTTTTGTCAATGACTTTCATACCCTCAGTAGAGGTAAATGTAGCTTTCTCACCAGAGTAAAAGAATAAATCGATATCAGTTCCGTTCTCCATGAGCTGACATTTAGCTTGTGAGGAGTAGAGTGTGATTTTCGGCGTTTTAGCCTTTACCAGATCAACAAAACGTGATGCATACAGATATTTCTTCCAATGCTTTTGAGGCAAGTTATGATATGAAAACACTTCGTCAGGAGAGGGATCATGTTCCATGTAGCAATTTGCATCTTTTTCTTTATCTACAGAGTAAATTATTATCTTCATACCATCTTTAGATATTTTGCATATTTCAACAACTTTTTCTTCTCTATTTTTTCCTTTTTTTTTAATAAATTCTACACTGACCCCTGAGGGTTCGATTTTTAATATAGCATTACGTGTACGATGCGAAATTGTCGGTAATCTTTCGGAACAAAGTGGTGGAACACTCAGTGAGTTAGTGTTAACAACACATTGTTTTGCCATATTTTCTTTATTTTCTTCTACATTATAAGTTTGTAAATTACTTTGTCCAGGACCCATAACATTTAATCTTTTGAGATTTTCAGCTAAGCTTGAAGTACTGTTACAAGTACTACTACTTTTTTTTGCTGAAGTTAACATATTATTTTCTCCCATTAGATTTCTTCCATCATATAATTCAACTGATCCTTTACTATTAGAACAATGTTTATTATTGCACTTATTACTGAAAGTAGATATAGATTCTTCATTTTGTCTTCCAGAAAATACTTCATATTGTTGATTACTTTCTAAATAGTCCCTTGGTAAAAAATCTTCATTACCTTTATAGACACCTAAATATTCAGAATTTTTAGATTCAGCTCTAATCTTTGCACTATGTTGTGTGCTATGCATTGTTGTTAAAAATCCCGAGTCCCGTGATAACTCTTGTTTGTTTAAATTTATTCCATTAAATATATTATTGAGAAAAGGATGCTCCATAATTCCTTTTAGTGTTATTCTTTTAGTTGGATCCTTACACAGAAGTTTCTGTAACAAGTCTTGTGCCTGCACAGATAACTCACTAGGTATTCTATAATCAGCATTAATAACTTTATTAAGGGTGGTTTTAACATGTTGAGTATGGAATGGTGGTTTCCCCACTAACAAGGTATATAACATACACCCTAGTCCCCAAACATCAGCAGGTAATCCATGAAACTCCCTGGAAGCTACCTCGGGAGATATATAATTTGGTGTGCCACACATTGTGACATGTTTTTCATCTGGTCCATTTAACTGTGTTGCTAAACCAAAATCAGCAATTTTTACATTCAAATCTTTAGTCAATAATAAATTATTCAATGACAAGTCTCTATGTATAATATTGTGAGTATGTAGGTACATAACTCCACTTAGTACTTGTCTAAAAATATCTGCAGCTGCTTTTTCAGAAAGACCATGGGTTCCTAATTTAAAGTGCTTAGCTAATTCTCCATTATGTGCTAATTCTAATATTAAATAAACATAATGTGCATCTTCAAAAAATGTATATAGTTCTAGTATAGCAGGGTGCTTTAAGCGAGAGTGAATGGTAACCTCTTGTCTGACTCGACCTATCATACCAGCACTCGCCATGAGTGCCTTGTCTATCATTTTGATAGCAACAAACAATCCTGTTTTCCGACATCTTGCCCTATATACATGTGCAAATCCTCCTTTACCTAAGTGCTCTAATAATTCATAATCTTCAATTTTCTCTCCAAACATTATAAATTCATAAAATACTCTTATCCTGTATGAATATTTTTATGAATATTCGAAAATAATCCATTATCTTAAGGATTGCCATTATTTCTGTGTATACTGAAAAAATAAGAGTTCAAGTTAAAACATATCAGTATATAAAAATAACTGTGCAACCAGCAGATATAGTACAGAGCATTTATACCTCTGCTTTAGTTGCGAATTACAGAACCTCTTACCCTAGTCAACCTCCCTCCACAAACTACTCCAAATTAATGATGAGTCTAAGTGCCCAAATCATAGATGGCAATAAAAAGGTTTTTATTTATTATTTATTTATTTATAACTTATAAGTCATTCTTGTTGATTCTGTGGTAATATATTACCAGCAAATTATTGTTTCTATTTATAGCAATAAGACTTTACTATATAATATGACTGATAGGTACCTTATTCACTATCCATTTGGCATCCTCAATGCTTTTTGCTATTATCTCTTTCACTCTTTCGGGATCACTTTCTGATTTATGTTGTTTATAACTCTGAAACAAGTAATTGTATATTGTTCAAGCCGCCGCATTAAAACTTATACACATCAAAACCAACTTAACAAATAATGTCAATATTTATTGGTATATTTAGTCTAGCATTCGCAAAATGTAGTTTTTCTTACCTGTTTAATAGAAAATTTGTAATGTTTACATGCGTCTGGGGGCAATCTTTCACATTGACGTAATAAGTATTTGTACAATTGCAAAGATGTCATAACAAACTTTGTATCCTTTGTATGTAACCTCATAGAAGCACAAATAAGCATTTCATTTGGTATAAAACCAAATCTAAATAGGTAAATATCGTTCAATAGAGGTTAATATTATAGAAGTATGTTACAAAGTACTCTGTGATAGAAGCTAAAGCTTCAAAAGCTTCACGCACTTAAGTTTATGATATAACTTCAGCAAAAAGGTCGTTGATTCAGTTTTCAGACAATATCATCTTAAAATTACGTAATAAACTTAGGGAGAAAACTTGAGTAAATCGTAACATGACTTGGGAATACGATAAAGTACGGCTTATTACTTTATAAGATTTATATTAGTATAAAGTTAATACAATAAAAAATTGTAAAAAGTAAAGTACACTTATTCTTTTTGTACACTTTTGACAGTTGCTTTATCTGTATTTAAACACTTCCAGCTTTTTTATCTGTGGTTACTCACAAAATGAAATGTGTCCCTCTTGCAATGCATTGCAATTGCAGCTATATTATGTCGGTTGTTTCTCGTTCAAGAAGAATATAATTACAAAATAAAGTTTCAAAACTTTTGTCCAATATTGTTGTTATTGTTTGAAGGGCCAAACATAGGAAAAATAATTATGTGCGTTCGAAGAGATTACTGTGCTTTTAGTGATTCATGAAAAGATTAGTATTATGATAACTCAATATTATTTTACTTTATGTTTGTGATTGTGCATTGCTCCGATAATGATCCGTTAGGACTGATGTGGTATGGCACTTGTAACAATTCGACGTACTCCAAGTGTGCAAACACCAAGGAAAACGGTGAGTAACAAAAACGGATGTAAAAGTTAGGTCAATAATTTTGCACAGGACTATTAAGGTTGACAGATGAAACTCGAACCTTTCCACTCTTTGTTCTTGATATTTTTTAAATCATTACAATTTTTGGGCATCGCTCCAAATTTATTAACAAAGGCATGAATGTGTCTATGTACCTTCCATCTGGATATCGAAATAGATTATTCCGTTTAACCTAGCTTAACTATCTGAATCATAAAGCATTTCACACTACAAACAGTATAATTTAATATACATTTTTAATTTAACCTTGATTTGAAACACAGAAATTTCATTTTATTACAGTAAATATAAGTCTTGTTATTATTTTGTTTATGTGAATGTTTTCAATATTCATAGTCCTATTACTCTTTGTCTTGTTACTGGGTCAGATATTTTAATTCCATATTTATAATGTTTAAGGTGTGTAATATCATTTTTTAAAGTTGTAAACATTTGTAAATTGTTAGGTATGACTTATGTTTTCAAAAAGTGACATATGTTTTTTTTACATAGACTTTTAAGAATAACAAATTATTGAAGAGCAATTTATCTAAACTTTGATAAATAACTATTCATAAATAGTCAAATCTGGCATTTCTTGCAATAATAAAGTTAAAATTATGAATAAATGCCTAAAAGCCAAATCATAGTGTAACCAAAAAGTTTTCACAACTCAACAAAATGTTTCTGGTGTTCTACTTAGGCTATTGGTTTCTAGCAGTTACAGCATAGAATACAAACATTGAGTTTTATTCAATCATAAAGAAGATGATTATGAATGAATAGTTCAATAGATTATATTGAATGTATACTGTCCAATTCATTTTTTCTTAACCAATAAGTGTACATCTTCGCAACAATAAACTAGTCTAACTTCATTTTTTTTTTGTTTCAGGATGACGAAGACAAGTCAAGTGATACAAATGATGATGATCTCGGAAATCGTAACAAGAGGTAGGATACGCATTTTTTAAATACTAAACAGTATGGATTTTACACCATTTTACCATGAGGCATATCAATACTGGTATTTATCCATTTACATTTATTAATTGGAATAGTGGTAGAGCTGGCAGCAGTGTCAGTCACTGGTACATATTAGACAATGAAATAGTACTTTATGACACTTGCAGTAAATATTAACACATTTACCAAAGTAGAATAAATATTTGTGTATAGAAATACACATAAAAACAACTTCAACATTAAAACTAATTAGATGTTTTTTCTATGTTTATTTACACATTATGTATCACTTTAAAGTTTAGATAGTGTTAAAAAGTTGGATAAAGTATCGTTTGAAGATAAAGCATGGTTGGGGTATTGTTTTCTTAATATCATGTAAATATTGTTTGATGTATGTACACAGTACACACACGTCTACCATCAAAATGCAACAATAGTCGCGGAGCGTGTTCCTGACCGCCTCGTGTTCCTGTTATACGGTTTCTATATTTACGCGGGCAGTACGCGCGGCGCGCTCGGCCGGGAGGGAAGCCGTGACGTTGCTTCGGGCGCTGCGCTGATCGTGCCTCGCGCGTACTGTGCCCCTGGTCGCCGGGCGGTGCGCCTCGCTAACAAACCGCATCCGCCAGGGAAATCGCGACCGCAGATCCGTTGTTTTGTACGAGTGTCTTAGAAGCGGGAACGCGCCACCTCGTCGATTGTCGGGTTACACCTTATGTCTTTGTCTATCACATGGTCGCCTTCAGGTAATCACGGCTAGTTTCTGCTAAACAATTCTAATCGCATCCTATTCTAATTCAAACAAGCGACGTAGATTAATTAATGAAATGAATATCAATTTATTATCCTATATTTATTTAGTACATCGTAATTATTTCTACGCACTAGTAAACATAGAACCTTGAATGTGTGCAATTACTTCGTATAAAATCACGAAAAGTATTAAGGTATCAAATTATCTGCAAATATAATGGCCTTCTTACCGATGTAAACAATGTTTTGAAAGGCGGTTTTGTTTAGCATTTTAAATATCTATTATTATACGAGAGGTCGCAAAATAATATATAAAATCTCCTTAGCAATATATAGATTTAAAAAAGTGAACGTACATTATTGTACTAAACAATTAGATAACATAGCTTTAATTCTGTGTCATTGAATGTGTTGGATACGTTTTTATGCCGTACACGTGAAGCCCTGATCTATTATCTACGTGAATGAACACTTGTTATTAACGTAGCGCACTATGGTTTGTAACTGGTTACATATTTTTGCACGTAGAAATAATTATAAAAACAAATCACGTGTAACATCTTCATAAGGAATGCTAGTATTCTTTTATATATTACTCATCAAATTCTTTGTCTGTAAATTCTATACAAAGGTACCTACTTCGCTATACGTTTTCATTAATTTATACCACAATGTTTCTTAATTTTAATGTATTTAAGTACTTTATAGCAGCGCCTACGCGAAAATAATATACTGTGTCGTTGACAGAAGTAAAAATTAATAAACTTGCAATAAAGACACTTTCATGTAAATGTCCTTTGATCCCTTTAAAAATTACATAATTAAAAAAACTTTCTAATCGATCTCAAGAATTTATTATGTTCAATTGTTAGAAAAATCACAATGCTGTGTACACGCACTTTATTTTGTAATAAGATTTTATGTATCCTGAAACAATAATTAACGTTGTGGAAAAAATGCAGTTTAATGAAGCGAATGCGGCGAATACGGTCTAGTGTTCGTAGAAGACATGTCATTGTATGGATAAACAAAACATTAAAGAGAAACAAACGCACCATAAATTGATCATCAAACAGTTATATTGACCTTTTTATGTATTATCTGTTGTTAAAACACATACAGCCATTGCATTTACATGATTCTCATTTATCACTCATTTTTCCTCATTCGTCATAATTAACTCCAAAATATTATTAACACTTAACTTATTATTCTCTCTAACACCAAAATAACCTGTGTTGTTGTTAGAGAGCATAATATTTATGTCATATTTCAGCAAGACTATTATATCTGCAGATGAGAACGTTTTAAGACATATTTTCTCCTCCACACTTAATTATTTAAAGAGTTTTCCGATGTGTATTTATGTTTCTGTAAAAATCATAATGATTAATGCAAATCCACGCTATGGATTTTATCAAATCACACACTTTGATTATTCTAAGCACATTCGTAAATTCAAACTGCGATCGTTTGCATTCGTTTTTCAAGAGACATTGGTTTTTTTTGCGGTTTTTTTTTTAATATCGTTGTATCCGTGTTTAATTATAGACTACTATGAATATTACCTAATAAGGACACCTAATAAAATTGGAATATGCTATATGTTATGACATAATATGGCTGATATCTTTAAGTTCACTTAAATTAATTATTACACTCTGTTTATGAAAAATTAATACGAGCTCCGCTCCTTTAACAGTGTGATATTTGCAGAGGCAAAAGAGAAGGGCTTAACGTAGAATGTAGCCGAGGCTGGCCGACCTTTCCAGCTTATGATATATAGTTACATATCATATAAAAATGTCATCTTAAAATATCAACCCAAACATCCTTGTATCTACCATTAACCTTGTGATTTCAAAGCTATTAAACAGAATCTAGCACTCTAAGGTGCCCCATTTATCGTAAATTAAAGATGAATTTAAGAGGGTTGGTTTTTCCGTCCCCAGTTTACTAATTTCTTTACAAATCAATTAAAACCAGGAAACTATTTTTACGGCTGATATATCATGGTATGTTTAAATACCTTTCTAACTCGTGTTTGTGTTACGAGATTACTTGTAACTTAGGCCCAGTGGACAGTTTCTTATCTTATCCGCCTTCGCATACTCATATCAGTGCCCTTCTAAACACGCAGCTCTATCACAAAAACTTAACTCATTTAGTTTCTATATTGTTGTACAGAGTTTTTTTTTAAATGCCATAATATTTGTTCTAAATCTGTTACCATTTCCTTACTTTATAATGAATCATTCATCTACGATACCATTATTTTGTAATCCGATCGCCGATGACGTAAATATAAGTCAGTCATCTGAATACAACAGGCATCTGACGATAGTCTGATTAGTTCATGGCTACTCGTACCTGACAACTATTTGTCTGGTATTTTAACGTTCACGAAATGCTACTCAACAAAAACACAGACCTTTTCAATGAATTAAAAATCCATATAAATGAAGTTGGTCGCAGCATTGACACTTGATTTAAATTTAGACAGATCGCTATAGATCTTTTATTTCTCTGTACTTTTACCCAATAATTTTATATTATCATCGCATTTACATTAAGCAGTCTACACGGTTATAGTAGCGCGTTTAGTCCTTTTGTGGAATAAGGTTCTTTATCATACCACTATGAACAAGATAAACGACACGCGTTTACGTTGCAGCAATCGAAGAGGCAGTATCAATAGTAATTTATTTAATATCAATTTATTATAATAGACATCTTACAGTATTTCTACTATAATGATACATAATACTTCATTTTTATGAAAGAATTCGATTTACTTGATTGTTACACGATAGACATTCAGGTAGGTGATTCAAGACGTACGTCTGTTACAAGTCTTTATGTGTTTGTAGTAGTTGTTGTGTCTCCGCTTCCTCCGGCACACCAGACACTGCGATAATTCAAGGTGATCATTCACTGGACATGTTGACTCATTACTCGTCAGTCACTCTATAACTGCATCATGATTACGTTAAGAAAATGTACTTAATGTTTTAGTTGTTTTTATTTTTTTTCTTCCTGATTCTATCTCGATGGATTCTGCATTGTGAATTAAAGCAAACATTTTTCCGATTAAGTAACCTTAATTTTTGATCTGTCAATCAATGCAATCATTTAGTTGACGTAGATATGTCATATAATTTCCCGCGCAATAACTGAAGCGTGCTGCGCGCCACGCTATGCCACGCCACGCAGCGGAGATGTGCAGAAGTTCTCCGGCCGCCCTAAATTGGGTAAAGCGGCAAGACGCGCGCGCGGCGGGCGGCGGGAGACGGGCGGCTGCCTCTATATGTACGCGTCGACGTGGCAATGCTTTGGCAACACGCCGCCGCTCTATTTTTATCGAACCTTGAGAGCACCCGCCCTTGCCGCCGTAATGGAAGTGACAATGTTAATTCGTCGCTAGTTAATGCACTATAAACAAATATCCACTTTTCATTCTATTATTAGAGAGACCAATGTTTGGGTGGAGCGTCACTTCTATATTTTTATCCGTGCCTATAATCCGCGTCGCTATTTCCTCCATATTTTCCGAATGACCTCATCATATTTTTGACGTTCGAACGCCTCCTTTGCGAAGCACGCGGCCCGTGTAAAGGTAAATGTCACATTGCGACCCTACCCGTTCGATTATCTCTATTTTAGACGCACGACAGCTCGACTTGTACCTCTTTGTTGTGATCATTGGTTATTTGCGAAATGTTAGTAGGTAATGAAAATGCTTGTGTATTTAGTTGATTTGTATCTTTACAGACTGACATTTATTACTTGCATCTCTGGTTAATATTTAGGTATATTTTATTATTAGAACCATATTTTATAGCTTTCGCCATACGCAGCGATCAAAATAGGAATTATTTTAGATTTAGGAAGATATGTATGTGATTAAAAATTGCAGTTGGCGTAGCAAACCAAGAATTTATTTCGTAAATAAAAGAGTCGCTGATCAACGCAGAGGTTTTAAAATATTCAGAGTCAAGCGAGATGTACCGTGCACTTGTAACTGGCGTATGACGTACCTAATGTTGATGTTTGAATGTGGCATACCTTATCGACATCCTCACATCGGCTCTGTTCCACCTCCGCAAATTTTTCCAAATTTAAATAGCCTCTCATTCTACTGATACGGTGATTAATTTGAGTTATCAATGAAAATCTTTAAAAGGTTCAATTAAAAAGTTTGAAAACAAAATATAAGAGAATCTGTATCCGTGCCACAAAACCCTTTTTTGCAATTCTTAACAATGATTTTCAGTTATTAAAAATATAGTTTTGGAGAATTTTAAAGAAATATGTATCATTTCTACAAAGGCTGTATTATCATTGTTCAGAAACATAAAGCTCATTTAAAACACGCGCCGGTACTCGGTGCGTGCTAATGGATATAAGTGCGGTTTAAATATACACGAGGTGCGCGTTGTCGATGCGAGCGTATTGTTAAGCCTCATAAAATAGCGGGGAATTCAATGAGTAATCGCGGCCGAATCGCAGCGTACATGCTGAGGCGAGCCCACGGCCGCGCAGCCAGCGCGTCTGCGGCCGCGCGGTGAAAGGAACCCAGCAGCCGCAACACCGATTGCTGCAACTTTATTAAAAATGGCGTCATTCAAACATTTCGCGGTTGCATTACATTAAATAAAAAAACAATATCGCCGACTACCGCATTCGAAGTTCGCACGCCGCACGAAGGGCGTCTGGTACTCATTTCCTTGAGCTACAGCTAAATTACGTACAAGTTTCGAAGGTCGCTAGTTGACTCTAGTTGTCTGTTGAATCCACCAGACTTATCAATAAAGCAGTATGGCAACATGTCTGCCATTTCTTTACACAATGGTATTGAGGCTTATTCATATTTTTATCTTGTGTTTTGTTTAATTATGATAGAAATGTAGTTGATCCAGTTTTAAACGAACCAAAAGCAAGTTGCGTCTTGAACTGACAAATATGGTTACTTAAGATAATGCGTTGTTGCGTTATATAGTGCTACATTGTGACTAGGCACTGTCTTGAAAATGATTGATTCGCGTTACACTGCGAACTGGTTTCCACAACTTGACAGGATGCGCATACTTAATACAGGCTAGGCGTTGCTGTTATTGTTACTACTTCAATACTAATAAGTATAATTTATTGTTTTAAAAAGAATATTTGTGTTCCTAAAGTTAATTTTAATAGAACGATAGCCATATTCATATTCTAGGTACTTTGGGATATCGTGTCTGAAATATACTGCATTAATATTTACTAAAACGTTTTTTATTTAATTGAAACAATTAGGTCCTGTTGACCTGTTTAGACCATTCGAAGTTACGTTGTTGACATTAGAATCCTAAACTTCAGATTCCTTAATCAGCTTTCAGATAAGGTTGAGATATATTTTTTACATATTTTCAGTGCACTAGCTAGGCGTCGACCAGTTTCAAATGAAAACAATTTATTTCTGAATTATATCTCCCGATGGATACCTCCAACTCTTAATACCAATTAATTATAAGGTTTTGAATTAATATATTTTTATCATGTAATTTATATACATATGAACCTGTCTTAACAATTTAAATTGTAATAGGTACATGTTCCTAAAAAGTTACGATCGTCTTGTGGAATCTGTCCCGAAGAACTGGACAGGTTTTCTTGACATGAGTGTACCGTATTAAAAGACCACTCATACGATACAGAGCAACGTACTTATAATGGATTGTATTGATTATTATCTGAGTAAAGCGTTTATATTTTCTTCATTACATTGAAGTTGAGAAAACAAAGGGAGAAGTTGAGCGGCGATTCTTTGCCAGTCGATCAGTGGCGGTGTGCCAGGATGCCGGTGGTTGTGCTGGATTACCTGTTGAAAGGTTACATCGCTTGTTGCAGTCTCAATGAGTGCTACTTCGCGAACAAGGGAGCGGCGCTGGTGCTGGGCGGCGCGGAGAGTGGGTGCGCGGAGCGGCGCCGCTCGCCCGCGCGCCCGCCGCAGCCCGACATACACCACCACCTGCGCGCCATGTTCTACCTCGTGCGCCCCGAGGACACGCTCAAAATGGTAAATTCAAATAACTAATCACGTACACTAAAGGTATCATCTTGTGTATTTTTTTCCTATCGAAGTATATGCAAAGGCTAGAGTATTTTGATGTCATTGATTATATGATGATTACCCCATTATTATTATTCATAATTATGCTTTTTGGGTAGACACGACTGTGGCCCGTCTAAGTCTATATTAAAATTACGTAACAAGTGGATTTGAAGAAAAGCTGCTTTATTGTCCCAAAACATTTTTTTTATTAGTTGCAAAGTAGAAACCCTAAAAAGTAATGGTTATGAATGTCAATGTCATTCATAAAAAAATGTCGGTCCATGAAAAATGGTAAAATAAATTAGTAATTTTACGGATTTTCAATTTATCATTGTCTTGACTATTAATTAGACCTTTCGAAATACTAACGTGACTGAAATATTAGGTGACTATTTTAGTACATATATTGAATGTAGGAAAATAACAATTTTATGTATGTTTCTACTTTAAATATAAATATATGAACCGAACTTCACACCGTAAACACCGTTGCAAGCCAGTCGAAGCATAAATCATCTAAATTGCAGTTTCCTATTTACTTTACTTCACAGTTTATTACCATACGTACGTCTAAAGCAGTGCAATAGTATGTCAATGTTATATTTAAAGTAGCAAATACCAGACAAACAAAGGACTCGTAAATTAATAATGAAAAATAAACATTAAGACAAAACAGAGTTAGGAACACACTGACATCATTTAGTATAAAATATATATTTAGTACTTGATTTATTTATTTTAGTATTTGAAGTAATTGATTACTTATAAAAGTAATTTAATGAATGTTTAATAAGCTAAGCGGTTTAATTTGCCTATGTACTAAATACTTGAACGCTTCTGTCGATCCTAGACAGGATTGGCATCTGGTGCATTTTTTAAATTCCAGATAAACACTGGAGCCAGTAGATTAGAGAAAGGTTTGGTTGTTAGATATTGTAATAGGGGTTAATGGTGGTGGCAGGCGGTGAAGCTGGAGAGCGCGCACGCGGGCCGCACGCGCTACCTGGTGGTGGTTTGCCGGCACGACGAGGCGGCGCTCCTTGGCATCGACTGCAACGACCGCACCACCGTCGGCCTCGTGCTGCGCGTGCTCGCCGACACCTCCATCAAGCTGGACGGAGACGGGTGAGCCTACCCACCTCACATTACCTCACACCATCATGCAATAACTTAGTATGGAAGAAAAGTGGGAGACATCGTCATGAATAAATGATAAACCGAATGACTCAGTAATGCAATTTATATACATATTAAAGGTTTAAATTGAAATACAAAGTAAAGGATATGATACTTCAAACTAATATTATACATATGTTAAAGTTTAGATGAATGGATGGATGGGTGGATGTTTGTTAAGAGTTTGTAGCCTAAACGGCTGACCGGATTTTAATAAAATTTGGTATAGTTGTAGAGGATAGCCTGGAAGAACATATAGAATACTTACTCATTTTTTTTTTAATTCCTTGAGAACGGAGTCGCGGGCAAAAGCCAAAAGTTGATTATGTATTGTAGATCTCATACGAAGTTTGTCTCAAACCGTATCAACATTTTCTTACTAAAATCAAATATTTAAGCTGGTCATTTGTCAATTGCACCATGTTGTTATCTATTATTTGTAAAATTCTTATTAATTCGATATAAAAATTTTGCAACATTGAGTTGCGAAAGTGAAATATTTGAAATCGGTAAAGGACAGTAGGGCTGGCGCTGGCGTTGCAAAATACCTGGTGCGCCGGCTGCAACTCGTTTCCGATCAACTTGGACGATTAATATATTTATTACAAACTAACTAATACCCGCCACTTTGCTAAGAATTTGATTTATTTAGTCGATGTTATCGTGATTTTATATGAAGCCCAAAGAGCAAATAATGTTACATTGACGTAAGTTGTACTTTTAACTTGTCCCATAAATGTATTAGTAAAAAGTAGTGTACTAATTGATGTAATTTGAGTATTGATAATACAGATAATATTATGTTTACGGCCGAAATGTGAAGACCGCAAATTGTCCTAGATGGGTATCTGGGCAACTAGGTCTTGCCACTTAACAGTTTTAACATTACTCATAACCGATGGCCGTAGAATTGTTTATGAATACGCACATTGTGGGCGTTGCGGCGGCGGCGCGGCGTTCACGTGCGAGGGATATTATCATACCCGCCAGGCGCGGAACAATCGCAAGAAGCCACCTAGCAAACTGCCGACTGCACTCTGCACAACTATGAACAATAACTAATTAAGGATTCATTGTCCGCAGAGGGTTTAGCGTGTGTGTGTGCAGCCAACAACACATATTCAAGCCCGTGTCTGTGCAAGCGATGTGGTAAGTGCCACTATCTTATACAACATAATGAGTTGTCTATACGTTTTACATCTGTTTTCATGCATACACAGTTTACCTTAATACTGGGACTATTGTTGTTTATTCTATTAACGTTCAGTTTGAGTTGTACTGTATTGTTAAATATTTTATTATGTTTACGTAATTTGTTACAATACAATAGCACAAGAGTCGTGTATTTTTAATTATAACTAGAAATTTGATTTAGGGCCCATTAACACTTTTATTTATAATTTCTAAGCTGAAGCGCTACAACATAACACATTGGTCAGTTAATTGAACCTATGAATTGCAATTTTGTAAACTCTAAACAGAAGTTTTAGAATGTTTTTACAGTAACTAGGATTAGTCATCTGGTTTCTAAAGCATTTGTTAAAATGTATATCCGGCTTACAGAGATAAACGTTTCTTTTGGTTTCATTTTTAACAATGCGTGTGTATGCTCTTCGATAACGACATGCAACCCTAACAACCGATTAAACCTTTACCAAGAACTTTTGTATCTTCATGTTATACTAAATTAAGTTGTATTAACCTATTTTTCATTGATTTATGTTAGAATTCATGATACGTGAGGTTCTTGTTCCCAAAAGTTTAGTATGACTGCAGGTCGGCGCTGCAGACTTTGCACCGCGCGAGCGGTCGCGCTCGCGAGCTGAACCACTTCGCGGGCGGCGTGTCGCACGCCTGGTGCGCGTACTACGAGACGCGCGTCGACTCCGACCGCTCCTGCCTCAACGAGTGGCACGCCATGGACTGCCTCGAGTCGCGCCGCCCGCCCTCGCCAGACTCACTCAGGCACAAGTCAGTCGACGCACAATACTTTCACACGATTATAACAGTTTTCAAACATAACGGCTCAGAACATCTCACAAATCGCTACGCACTACACAATTTTAGGTATCATTTGTAGGTGTAGGTACCGTGTTATAAATAATATAAATATTAAATAAAATAAAACAATATCATTTGTAGGCGCCAAAATTAATAGTAATCTCTTGTGTATGAAGAAGAGGATACTTTCATTTGCATAGTATACTACAAACCAACTTCATAGTGTGTTCGCAAAAAGCTTGGCTGAGGGCCAATATACTAATTTAATCAAGACCTCCACGTCACTGTTCGAAGTTGCACCACTCATATTTACCAAACAAATATATAGCGTTAGCCTTTTTCTGGTATATTAAAAAAATCAAAATATGCACGCATACTGTACACTATACGAACAAATTAATTTAGGTTTTGGTTTGGAAAAAAATACATCCTGATCATATTTTATTAGGATGTTATTCTGATTTATAACATGACGATTGCAAATGCAAAGCTAATCGTATGTTTTAGACGAGACAATCTAGGCCGCGATTTTATTGCTCTGTGCCAACCGTCAATCGATGCTTACTATTTATAAAATGGTAACACTGTGATTGAATTTTATTTATAATGAGTGAAAAGCATAGTTTGAAGAAGAGAAATTTGTTTACTTATGGACATTAGATTTTATAGAACTTCCACTCCCAAATTTTAAATCAAACAATACGACATTTGATTCCGTCTACAATATCACAAGGGGGAACAGGTGTTATAAGTGAACAAGGGGCTTTACGGAGTTTAAATTGTTTGTATAACAAATGTTTACATTGTGCATAAACAATTGGTAGTTGGAAGTGTTTTAACGTGAATTAATTAAAACAATGAGCGGCTCCGGCGGAAACTATAATGGGCTCTGTTCGAGAGATCGTTCTGCGTTACCTAGACCTCGTTTCTTAACCTTTACAACAATCCGACATCAGTAAAGCTGCTCAAATTTACCGCCGTGTAAAGTGGAACAAATACTTATTACATTTTATGCTCATTAGCATTTAATTGCGTCACGGAGCGCGCGGATAGTCTGCTGCATTCGGTGTCATTGTTAAGGTCTACTACTGTTTATTTACTATTGTAGTGACAAGATTCACATACTCAATAGTATAATAATTATACAGACAATTTAAAATTTAATTCGTTCAAATACTTATATGTTCTAATCTAGTAGAAATGCTTTGTTTAACTTGGTGCGATAATTAAAACGAAACCGTTTAATGTAGAACTTTGTATTGCATTATTTTTGGAAATTGTAAAAGGTTCGGTGACCTTGATACAATTTTAGGATAGTATTGCTTATAAAATGGTAAACACTAATACTGAGTTTTATATTATTGTTTTGTACGTTACCATATTAAAATTACTTTTTTTAATTTACAATTAAAATTAATAAATCGTTAATTCCAGGCCGAGAGAAAGAGACGAAACTGAGCGCGTGATTCGGTTCACGTTGAAAGAGATAATGATGAGCGTGGATCTGGACGAGGTAACCAGCAAGGCCATCCGCGGCCGGCTGGAGGACGAGCTGGACATGGACCTGGCCGAGTACAAGTCCTTCATCGACCAGGAGATGCTCACCATCCTCGGGCAGATGGACGCGCCCACCGAGATCTTCGACCACGTCTACCTCGGCTCCGAGTGGAACGCCAGCAACCTCGAGGAGCTGCAAAGAAACGGGTGAGACGCTACGATATAATCTAAACACTTACACTAATTAGGTTTTATTCCCAATTAAATAACAAATGACTACATTTATTTCGAGACTAATAACGATGGTAACTTTCGTTTTCAGGGTTAGGCATATATTGAATGTGACAAGAGAGATAGACAATTTTTTTCCCGGTATGTTCGATTACCTTAACATTAGAGTGTACGACGACGATAAGACTGACCTATTGAAACACTGGGACAACACATTCAAATATATCAACAAGGCGAGGAACGAGGGCTCCAAAGTCCTGGTGCATTGCAAGATGGGCATCAGCAGGTCCGCATCCGTCGTCATCGCATACGCAATGAAAGCCTTCAATTGGAACTTCGACAAGGCCTTGAAACACGTCAAAGCGAAAAGGAATTGTATCAAACCGAACACTAATTTTCTCAATCAGCTCGAAACTTACCAAGGTATACTCGACGCGATGAAGAACAAAGAGAAACTGCAGAGGTCCAAGTCGGAAACTAATTTGAAATCCCCTAAAACCGCTTCGAAAATAGAAAATAAGATAACGGATCCCACGCCTTTAATATTAGCTTTAACGGGATCGTACTCGGGGCGGCCGCGCTCCTGGTCGCCCGACACCAAGCTGGCCTCCGAGCTGC